GAGAACGGGATAGCAGCTGGGGGAAAAAGAAAGCAGTAGGGCAGCCGGGGTAGACTGAGTTCGGCAGGGGAGCTGAGGAAGCGGAGAGAGGATGAAGGTGAGCACTTGCAGAGATGAGGAGGCGATAAGGTACTCAGCCTGCACGCCTGACAGCACGCCATGCTCCCCAAAGCGGCACCTCGCTTCCGAGATGAAGCGAGGACTTCGACTCCCAGGCCCACGCCTTCCAGGAGCCGTGCGGTCAGCTGTGTCAGCTGCCACATCTACGTCGTCTCTTACCATCACCATGCCCTCTCAGTGAGTCGTCCATGCCCCTTTGATGTTTTGCCCTGGCTGATGTATCAACATCCTACAGGCGAGCTAACCATCTGACGATCAGCATGATGATCCTCAGATCGTTATCTCGCCTGGCGCCCAGCGCGCCTCCTGCCTGAAATGGCGTAATCGCCCAGCTCCCGCCCACCTTTGGATCTCTTTGGTCTCAACCAAGCCGGCGAGGGTGTCCGAGGATCCGAAGCGCACGTTGTACACTTAGGGCCCCCCGCGGACGACCCACTGTCTCCACGCGCGGCTCCCTCGTCGAGTCCTCGCCCAGCGGACCCTGGAACTCCTCGCGCAAACAACCGGCACCCCATCCTCAGCTCGCGAGGACAACCCATCTCCACGCGCAGACCCCTCGTCTCTTCACACAGCCGACCCGTCTCCTTGCGCAGCAGCAGCCTAATCAGCTCTTCAACGTGCTCACGCAGACGACCTCGCCCCTCCTCTTCTCGCGACATCCGGTTGAGTTGTCTTCCACCGCGTCGACCGCTCATAATCGCGACACCTGTCACGGTAGGTCTATGATACGATATCGCCATGTCCAACTAGCCATATGCTCACACGGTATATCGCAGGTTCAAGGTTGTGTCCTCCGACGACCATCTTGCAGTCTCGCTCTGAACAAGATGTCCAAATCCGCCCCCACCAGTTCCTCGTCTCCCCCAGCCCCCTCCGACATCGGGCTTGGCGACCCCATGGCCCTCCCCTCAGCAGTGCTGTCCATGTCGGGAGACACTCACGTCTCCGACGCCTACCTTAACTCAATGGGCCCTAGTGTCGACACTCCGTCCATTCCTCCCTCAGACACCCTCGCCGCTCTCTCCGAGCTCTACAACCTCGGCACGGACACCTCGCCTACTGGCGCCAGTGCTCACTCCGGCAAGACGTACGGGGAATTGATGGTCGCAGCAACGCGCCGTCTCGTTCCCCCCGCACGGTGGGCGAGCATGATCGAAGAGCTCGCCGAGTACCACCGCTCTCTGGTCATCGCGGAGCTTCTGGACACGCCGCGCCCCTCTACAATCAGCCCACGGACCCACGCGATCTTAGTAGAGACGCTCTTTGCGGGTGCGGATGCAGGCGTGTCTTCTCTCACGGACGACAGGGAGCAGGAGGGTGCTAATGGTGAGTCTGGCAGCCGCTCATGGGGTTGAGTCGTTGACTTACTAGGTTCAGACACAGGTGTGGCAGGCCCGGGCGCAGCTCCCGTTGGCCCCCAGATGCGCACGCGCACACGCAAGAGGAAGGGGAAGGGCAAGGGGAAGGGCAAGGGAGTGGGCAGGGGCGCGCGTGCGGACACTGACGCAGGTGTGGATGCGGGCGTGAGGGCAGGTGTTGTTGGCGCGACCCCCACCCACCCTTCGGTCGACGATGAGCTGCCCGGCCTCATTACCCCCGTCCACTCCGACAACGACTCCGACGCCTCAGACAATGAGTACAACTAGAAGCAATAAAGTCGGATTGAATGTGTATACATAGTCTGAATATGCGACTCTACCCGCGGATGACCCGCAGATCACGAGAAATCTGGCCTGCCTGATTCGGAACCTCGCCGAGCCGGATCCGCACTGAGTCGGAGCCGTGTGGATCACGAACCGCGACGCACGACTCCGGGTAATTGCGGGTCGATCTGCAAAGTGATCCGGAGTCTCGAACAGCCTTAGTTAGGTTCATGATATGGCCCTGGGTAAGTCTTCTGAACTGTTTCCCTAGAGTCATGTAGTTGATTACGTACAGCACCAGGGGGGTGGCAACCCGAAGTCTACGTACAGAGACGTCGCTATGCCCTCCGACGTCGCTCTCAAAGGCATCCATCTTGTGGAGGAGCGCGCGGGCACTGAGGGGAAGCTCATGGTATGGGGATCCCGCGCCAACTGGATCTTGGGGAACGTATCAGACGCTAAGATTTCGGTCACCAATCAAACCCGCAGCGTGCTGGTTCGTGGGGGACGGGCGAGCGGGCGGTGTATCGGCCTGGGAGCGGAGTTGTACGCTCAGGATACCACCAACAACGAGTTTCTGGCGGCTCCTCTTGCCGAGTTTCGCTTTTTGAAGGGTGTCGTGCCTGTCTTCGTATGGGTCAAGGTGCGCTTTTGCATCATCTAGCTGACAACATCTGACTTTCGTCCGTAGGAGGAGCGACCGCGCCCCTTGGGTACTGCCTACCGCCCCTTCACAAGAAGACTTACAAATACGTCCTCGACTTCCTGCGCAGGGATAATGTTGATCTCGGAGCGGGCTGGATGTTCTGGAACCCCAGCGCTTCATCCTGGATAACTGGTACCGAAGACGCGAACGTTCACGACATATGCTGCCAGACACTCTTGCTCCGTCACGCTGAGAACGAATGCACGCGTTTCGCCGGACGGTTCATAGAACAGCTGGAAAAACACAACAAGGTGGTTGTGGCGACGGAGGACATCGTGTCTGCGAGCAAGGTGAGTTTCATGTGTTTCCTGCGCGGAGACAGGACTGATCAATCACGCGCAGAGGCTGCAAGAATTGCAAGGCGGCCATAACAAGAGGGCCAAGGTGAGCTCGTGCCTGGGGCGATGGAATTATGTCTGAAAGCGTGCATCCCACAGACAAGCAAGTGAATGACGGGGTGTGAGCCACTGTAGAGTGCAAATGCTTCACCTTTTTGTATTGTCATGTAGAGATATCAGCATTGGCAACGTGTGTGACGCGCACGACGCGATCAGCGCAATGCGGGCTCCATCCTGATGAGGGCCTGGACGCGGAATCCGGATGTCGCTCGAAAAGGGAGTTGTCCTCCCTGTCGTCGACCGCCTGCCCAATGGCACCCTGTCGGCGCTGCTGCCCCCACCACTCATCGCCACTTCACCTCAGCCGGAAAGTGGTGATGACTATTCCCTCGACCCACTCACGCCATACCGACGCCGCCAGCCCAAACAAGACGCTGCACATCCCTAAAGTTGTTGTAAACGCATGGGTCGCTACAGTCTACGTGTTCAACACGGGTGTATGTCGCGCCTTCCTTCATACAATCTGCTGGCTAATGATTTGTGTGCCAGGCTACGATGCAGAGAGAGCTTCCTCAAGCCATGGGATTGCATCATCGGATACGCCTGCGCGCGCTCCTGCGGAGGTGGGCGGAGACTTCGGCGACGGTGGGCCTCTGGAAGGATGGTAACTGGGTGTTGGCCTCTTTCGACGACGAAGTAGTGGTGGTACAAGACCTCCCCATCATGCTGGTACGGGTGGGAAACTGGGATAGAGTCTGCAAGAACTTTGGGAACATTATCGGAAGGTACGACTCGACTCAACGGGGGAATGCAGTACACGACGTTGTCGAGTACCGAGGATGGTACGAGATGATGTTGATTATCAACTACACCGTTGTTGTGTGGACCAAGGTGAGCGTACAAACCTGCTTTCTTATGCTGCATTAACGTATCCAGAATGTCGACGGCAGCCCATCGTTGTGCCACATGAACTCACAAGTGGGGAAGACCTTCTCCGATGTGATCCAACACTGCAAACGCCTCAATGCAGCGATAGACCTCTCCGAAGACGTCATGACCTGGTGTTCCAAGACGTCGACATGGATCTCCCGCACTGTGCACGACCAAGTCACCGATGCCGACTCTCACATGCTGCTCATACGAAGCGCACTCAACACGGACGCCTGGGGATGTGGCCCCTTCATTGACCGGCTGGAGCGAGAGGAGCGTGACTGCTTGGCTTGTCGTAACGTGGATTGAACATGTTCATGAGTGAGTCTCAAGTCAGCAAGTGTCGTTCATGCAGCTGATCTCGGACAGTGATGTCGCTCGGCACTTGATGTGAGCAGTTTGGTATCAGAGTCCACGGCGATACAGTGCTGTTGTATTCCATTGTGATATGTAGACCCTGTTACTTCGGCGCCGAGTATATACATAGAGAGAGACGTCCTGAGGACGCCGTCGTGGCGTTCTCAGGCATTGAGTGAATTTTGAAAGCAGTTCTCAGTAGAACAAAAAATGCAATGCATGCATCCCTGGTAGATGGATACGTACTGAGAGTCGGCTCGGAGGGACATAAAGGTAGCACGGCCCGTTCGATCGCGCAAGCCGAAAGAGGAAGTGCCTCGAAACGCAAGCATCGCCCAAATTTGCGCCGTCCCCGCTCACCACCTCCTATCGTCTCCCCTACCTGTCATTGCTCAGCAGCCATGGAGCCTGTCGTTGTGAGTGTCTTGTGCTGTCCTCCTTCGAGTACTGAAACGAAGTAACAGCACGACAAGCGGAGGGGGTCCGACCGCTGCAGGTTCTACCCAACACAGACGGGGCCTCCTGATGACATCCTCTTGAAGATCGAGCGCCAGCAAAAGATCGATGAGGCACTTCAGCAAGAGGCGCAAGCACACCACCAAGACGCCGAGGACCTCAATGAGGAACATGTCACCTCCTCATCAGAAGACGACCACAACCGTGACAACCACGATGGCGACGACCACGACCACGACGACCATGACGACCATGACGACCACGACCACGACCACAATGGGCGCGACGACGGCCACGGGCGCGACAGCGACAATGACCACCACCGCGACGACCGCAAGAGCGACAATGAAGATTCAGACCGCCGCCGCAGCCACCACCCCAATACCCCGAAGAGGAAAAGAAAGGACAACCGTGGGGAGAAGGAGAAAAGGCACAGGGCGGACGAGGTGTACAATGGTGAGGTATGTTTTTCCACATGGAGTGTTCGAAGCGATACGAATGACGCCCGTGAAACAGACTACGGTTGACCTTGAAGAAGCGAACGTTGTGGTTTGGAATGTCGTGAGCGTTGTCAGAGCTGCAGACACCCGATGCGGCTGACATAGCTACAAGGGTGTGGTGGGCCATAGTATCCACGTCGCCACCGTGAAGCTCGAACAAGGCATGGTCAACCTGACGAGGATCAGCGCGATCGCCACGCGCTACACACACCATCGGATCATGGAGATGCAGCTGTGGGAAGCCTTTGATTGGCAGGCCCTTCTGCGTACGAAGATCCGACTAGAGCCATATCACACGGGATGGATATGGGTGCGTGCGCAGGCGGGAGAGTGCTTCGAATTCGGCATCTACGCGCGGATGTGGGAGGAAAGTGTGGGCAGATCATCTCACTGGAAAGATGTCATACGGGTGATGATGCGAGACGCTACCGACGACGTTCCTTTGGTGATCCAGTGGCACAAGGTGAGCAAAGTGGCAGCACAGTGTATCGTCTGCTGATGCAGGGGATATAGGCCCGGGTGTTTGTCGACCACGCCGACGAGAAGACGCTCACCTCTTCGCTCAAGTCCACTCTCGACGACAAAGGCACGCTGTATATATGGTCTCCCAGCCGCTCGTCCTTCACGTCCACCTCAACTCTGCATGACGCGCTGTGGTTGGTCGCTGACGCGGTTCACGGTGGTGCTATAGTCCTCATAAGAACCCAACATGCGAACCTGGACGGCTGGGGCATTGCGTTGGACGCATTAGAACTCGCGCGACGGATCACCCGCCTCATTGAGGTGAGTGTACTCTATCTGGACCGCACATGGCTGGTTCTGACCATGCCGCCCAGCTGAAGAAGGAGAGACAAGATAAAGAGCAGGAATCAGACAGCGACAGCGACTACGACTGTGGGGGGTGCGGCACACGCCTGGGGATGTCTGCGTCCGAATGAGTGAGGATCGCGGATGTGTCCTAGGTCATACTTATCTGATATCTTCTGGCAGGCTGGCGGAAGTAAGCCTGACAGACATCGAACTGCTGACACGAAGCAGACCAGTGTGCAGGTGAGCGTCGTACCCATTCCCGCAACACGAAATTCTAAGTAACGCTTGGGACGGTGGATGACCCCAGATGAAGAAGCGCGGTGCGAAAACGACTAAGTACCAAGATATTCCGAAGAAACCATCCATCGCGGCGATGGACACGATCG